GAGGGCGACACCAGGCTCTTTTAACTCAAAGTCTGGTGCTGTGTCTATTCCATCTTACTGTCTCCTTTAAAGGGAGGCTTGAATTAATTTATTTCCACATGAGAAGTTATCAGGACAATGAGCTACCAGATGACAAACAATGAGGATTTGCTATTTATTATGCAGAGAAGCAAGGCACTTTGCTTGGTGAACAGCAGGATTTCAATTGTTGGTCATTCCAATACCATGAGGAGTATAAATTTTTTCTTTTTTTAAATTAAAAATAATATTAAAAAATGTATTGCTCTTTGTTGCACACATAAGTGCAGTGCAGTATTTTAACTGCTTATAATAGAGTGTCAAGGAATCCTTAAGACCTGCTGAGGTACCAGACTGAAAACACTGGGTCTATCTTTTGCACAAAAACAAAAGCCAAGAACTCTCGGATGGATCCCAATAAGGCCTAATTGGTAAGGCAATCAAATTGTGTGCCTAGACATCCCCACAAGTACAGGGCCAGCAGACTGAATGAAATTGACAATATTGTCTTTTTTAATTAACAAAAATGATCTGATGTAACAGGAAGCTTCTGAAATTATTCTTAAGTCTCTATACTGTAGTTGCTTTTATGCTTCTCCCCCACCTACCGCTTACTTATTTTCACTTCAAAGCATCCACAGAGATGCTGCAATATTTTTTCATCTTTTTTATAACTACAATTCATGTTGGAATCCTTTATTATATTTTATTAATAGTTCAGAGTCCCCCGATTATTGAACTGGTGAAGGCAAAGATACCATGAAATTTGCATTATATTTGAGTCCATTACCAAGTCAACTTGGTGAAGACTGTGAACCACAGAGAGGTGAATGCCTGGCATCCAAGAGTCATTTAAAAAATTAAGTAAAGTAAGAACATACAAAACCATGTATTTTCACATTCATACATAAAGACTTAGGTGTTTGTCTTATTTCAGCATCAAATTAAAACTATCTTCTGTAATTACATCTATTTTAAACTGTAAGCACTCTGAAGATGTCTTGTATCGTAAGACCATTTTCCCAGGATAGGATTTCTTAGACATTTCCACATGTTTTTGTTTTTAAATCCTTGCAGGTTTGAGAGCTCTCCCTACTAATTAAGTTAAAACTTTTAACTTTCAACCTCTTTTCTGTGTTTTACAAATAGCCTCTACATCTCTCCCCACACATTTAATTCATTTATAAATCACTTCATTGAATAACAATACTATTACTTATAATGACAGCAATACTAACAGCACTTCTATTTAGCCAGTGTTTTCTAAATATTAGAAATCATGCTCCGTTACTTATATGTCTCATCCCATTCCACTTTCATGCCAACCTTAGGTGTTAGGTTTGGATTTTCTCCTCACCACCTCTCCAAATGTGAAAACTCATGCTTAGTGAAGTCAACTCATTGGTCCAAGTTCACACAGACAGTAAGTGACTGAGCCAAAATTCAAACCCAGGCAGTAAGACACGATTCTGAATATTTATATTGAACTTACTGCACTTCCAAGTTTTGTGGTCTTTAAACTCATATCATTAGCATAGTTACAGGAGTCATGTAACACAGAAAACACAAAACCCAACATCGAGATTTCCCAGTCACTCCTGTGAAGGGGGAGACAATTACTCAAGGTGGGAGTGGTGTTTTCTTGACAGCACCACTGCATGTTCCCATGGACTAAGCCAACACAAACTGAGCTCGTTTTCTAGAAAATTAAGATTAAAAGCAAGCTATATAGAGTTTGAGCTAGCTTCAGATAGGAAGAACAGCATGCCAGTAGGGAAACATCAAGTTTCAGATCTGCTAACCCAAACCAGCTATGTAACTACATATAAGAAAAGAGATGTGCAAATCTACACCCCGTTGAGAGTCTAGCAGTCCTATTCAATAAATAAAAATGGTTTACATATCATTCGAAGCCCTTCCAGCTGTGTGAGCATTTGCTTCTATCTGGTCAAGCTGCTGGTTGCCCTTTTGTGGGGATTTCTCTGGTAGAATTGGTGTAGGTCTTATGCTTCTGTGTCTTATGTTTGTACTTATATGGTACTCTGGGAGCAGTGGTTTTCAGTGGGAGTATGGGGGTTATTTTGTACCCTCCCAGGACTTCAGGCAAGTTCTGGAGACATTTTTGATTGTCAGGACTGGGGTGATGCTACTGGCATCTCAAGGGGAGGGACCAGGGTTATAGCTACACATATACCCTACATTGCACAGGACAGGTCCCCACAACAAAGAATTGTCCAGGCCAACAGTGCTGCTGCTGAGGAACCCTGTGCTAGATTATAATTTACTATCACTGTGCATTGCAAAATGCTAATCTCACATTGCTACATCTCATCAATGATAAATAACTCTAATACCTCTTTTTCCAGCTCTGCTTTTTATTTGTAGGATAGTGTCAATAATGTTATACAATTTGATAACCCTAATGCCATTGCTGATGTGTATTGCTTGGTCATATAATTATCATTAAGCACAGAAGTGCAGAAGATGAACAAGTCTATCGCTGCCAATTTTATTTTTCTTCCCAATAGCAAAAAGAGATAGTTATAACTCCCTTTGCACCTGCTGTTTTCCTAACCCTGAATCTATTTTCTTTTGAAATGTGAATTCATGGTCAAAAACTACTGAGGCTTAAACATTTCCTGCTCAGAAAATTTAACACTGCAAGATATCCCAATGGTGCCGATCTGAATGATACCCTATTTTAGCTGAACAAAAATGAAAATCATGAGTATAAAATAACATTAAAACAAAATAACTTAACTTTCCGAAGTGTCTCTCCATTTAAAATCTTCAGCTAAAAACCCACTGTGGAAGTAAATTCTTCCAACATGAAATGGATTTCAAACAAGGTTTTTTCTGTCTTTGCCTTTCATGAAATTCATACAGATAAAATGCAGGCTACTCATCATTGCTAATAAAAATAAACCCTTTGGTAGAGACAGAAGCAATTGCTTGAAATGTTAACCATGATGTTTACAGATTAGAGCACATTGAAAAGAGGTCATATTCATCCAGTTGGACCAAAAAATGTTACCCTCTGCTATAAAATCTGAATCAGAACCTGCAACACAAATAAGTTTCAGGCATTTCTGGGGAATTTTGAATTCTAAACCTAAAGTATTCCAACCTTCCTCCACTCCACTTCAGAGAATTGTTCATCAGTCAGTCCCTTTGTTTTTGTTATGAATGACTATAGTTGGGCTATTTAAAGCAACTGATGCATTCAGTTGTCAGTTATATATGTCTGTGGAGAGTACACAAATGAACCACAATTTGATTTAAATCTTTTTCCTTCTTAACCAAAATGGTAGGCTTTGAAAGAGTAACAAAAAGTACACTGTTATCATGACAAAGGCTGGAGAAATAGAAGTTAAAGACTTTTAAGTAAAGAAAGAATGAGACAAAGGCCTTCCTGCTCATTCACTTTGCTAAGACAGAGAAACCTGGGAGTTAACTAGAAAAGCAGGCATAGGCTGAACTGAGTATTCAAGTATGTGCTATTGATTTTATCATAGACATCTTTTTTAAAATAAACTTTTTTATAAGTGGTTACATTTTTAATCTTTCAGTGAAACTATAGTCTTAGTTGTAAATGTGGTCAAATGAAATAAAGGAGTTTTATTTATCCACCCTTCCATTAATATATTCAACAAATGTTGACTGCCTACTGTGTGAAAGTCTCTTAAGAACAAGGCCGAGCAGTTAGCACAGTATGGATGTATTAGCTGCACAGCAAGTGACTCAAACTTAGCAGCTTAAAACAAAACACAAATATAGCCCAACATATAATATATGCTCAGGAAATGTTTGTTGAATGAATAAATGAATGAATGAATGATTAAATGAATGCATTTAAGAATACAGCAGCTTTTGCAAAGAAGAACGGAGTGTTACTGTGCAAAGTGGCAGAAATGTAAACCACAATGATATGAAAGTGATACCAATTACTTAAAGTATGAGAAACAATGAAATTTGTGATGCCTACACTGTGTGGTCTCTAGGGAGCTAGTTATGGATTTGACTCTAATAATAATATTCCCAGATATGAGATGCAGATATAAAAACTGACTCCTACAGTAAAGAGCCAAGAGGTGTTCTGGCCTCGATGCTACCTACAGGTTATCTTAGAATCTTAGAATCTTTTGTAAGAGGAGTTATGATACAAGATGCAATATTTACATTACTTTGTTGTTTGTGGAAATAGCATTTGCTGCTGCTCCCTTACCTTTTTATAGATGGATGCCATACATGGATTCTTCCAGCAGTATTTATAATTACTGACTTTCTATATTTCCATTCCTTTTTGGTTTCTTTACCTTGGTGCTTTTATCTCCTTCCCCAAATGACAATTTCCTTATTGAAACTTTCCTCTCTCCGATTTAAAATTTGAATTTAAGGAACAGACATAATAAGAATTCTCTACAAAACATGTGCACTTCCTCAGAGAAAAAGTATCATGGAAACATGAATGCATAAAATAAATGCACATCAGATATATTAGTATCATTTATTCTAGATTTTAAAGATCTAAGCGATAAAGGTCATTGAAGGGTGGATGTGAAGACAATTAAGGTCATCAGGATTTCCTGGAGATTATTAGCTTTCTTTAAAATGGCACCACATGTAATATTGAGCTAGGATTGCAGAGTGGCAAGAGCCATTTTTAATTATTAAAAGTAATTTCACATGTGGTTTAACAGTCATAATTGGAATTTTGAGTTATGCTTTCCTTGGTAACAACCCATTTCCTTTGTTTGGATAAACTGCAGGCGTGAAGAGATGAAATACGATGTCCTTTAATATGTGGCACTTCAAGAAATTATGTTTCACTGGCAGGCATTCAGCATTTCTGCAGCTAAAATGGCATTTCTCTAAAATACAAGAGAGACCAGGCCCCAGCATTAACACATTTCCTTTGCCAGTGCCTGGGGCTTCAGTAAACGATCCTAATGGTAAAGAAATGCCTTCATAAAAGTACTCACAGACATCTTGGGAGGACTGGTGAGGTGTGGCTGTCATCCTGAGTTGCTCAGTGGGTGGTAGGGAGGGTGGCCTTCCTGGAGTAACAGCAGAGCAGATGTGTGGCAACTCCTAGTTAGGGCTGAAAGTAGGAGGCATATCAGCGCAAAGCACAGTATCTCTCTGAAATACACCCCCTCCCGCCACCACCATTACAAATAGGACTGCCTCTGCTGCTGCATGTGTCCGGGATGAGCTGCTTTTCTTTATGTGCCTGGCAAGATCCTACTCAGCCTTCAAAGCCCATTGCAAACATTTCCTTTAATTGTGACACCTTGGCTGATTTACAACAGACTTAAATTTTCCTTTCCCTAGATACTTAGGGCCATTCACTTCCTATACAGTGATATCGATAATCATCATTCACTCCCTCATGCATGAGTACATATTTACTGAGGAGGGACAATGAATCAGGGACTGAACTATGGATTTCTCTGCTTATAGAAACATAAGCAACATCCCTAAGCAATAAGTATTACCATTTCACCCTTTAAATAGAAATGAAAGCAGAGGCTTAAGGGAGGTTCAAGTAATTCACTAAAATCACACAGACAACAAGTAGGTAAGCTGAAATTTAATATCATATTGGTGTATCCTAAAACCTAAAGTATTTTAACTAATAGGTTTTAAATATCATTTTAACATGGTATTATCTTATATGATTTTAAATTACATCACATTAACTTTATACATATATATTATATACATATATTTTCATGTGTGCATATATCTATTATGACATGATCTATCCTATGATATATATATAACGAATATACCAACATTGTATAATGCCATATATGATATGCTGGAGCTGACTCATGTTGCTTACAATAACCTGTCTCTTCCCAGCTCCACATTCAGTGACAGCACGTGTTGGTCACAGTAGGAGTGTTTATATACACCATGGCAATTGCAGATGATACAAATTAGGGCTATTTGTCGTAAAGAGCTGGTTAAACATTTACTAATACTACTGATTATTTTATCGTTACTGGTGTAACAGTTCATGTCTGATACTTAACTGTGAGCTCCTCAAGTGAAGGGGTTGTATATTAATGACCTCTTTTTTTCAGAGCTTGTCTATAGCACAGTGCCTAGCACACAGTGGGTGTTGGATAAATTATTCCTGCATGAGCAAGTGAGTGTTTTGCAGCATCTTTCACAGTTTTTACAATATTTACTTCCATTAATCTAACAGTCTCAATGTTTGCAATATCACTACAGTGGGTTGCCAAGGGATAAAATGTATAAAGTCTGAAGTGCAATCCTTTGCTTCTCAGCTTCAGAGGGTAGAAGCACACTGCATATTAAGTACCTACCACTTATTTCTACCTGGAAGGCCTGGAAGGATGCTGGCTGCTCAGGGGAATAAACTGAAGTCTATAGCAGCTTTAGAAAGTGATTACAAACAAACATTGAGTTATTTATATACGTTGCCTTTTACTTCATTTTCTTTCTTTTGTTTTCTTTGTTTTTTCTCCTTCCTCTAGCTCTGTATCTTAACTTGGCTTGGAAGTGATCATTCATTAAAATCCTGTATAACAACATTCTTATTATAAAAGAGAATCCTTTACAAAATTATAAAAACAAAATCTCAGTCACATCTTACAAATGTTGTTGATGATGATAATTTAGCCCAGAAATTTAATCTTTTTTAATAGGAAAATATCCCAGAAGCCATTTTTACCCCAGTATAACACTATTTTTAGAATCTGAGAGTCTGTTTAGGCATCTCCTCTCTGTGCTGACCAACTGTGTGTTCCTGGGCCTTTTTTATTTTTCTGAATTTTTCCTCTTCTGTGAAATAGATACAATGTACCTATTTCAAAGACATAAATTCAGATAATGTATTGAAAGCACTTTGCACAATGCCTAGTCTACAATAAACATTCAGTAGCTGGATGGCTTTTTCAGCTTCTAGCACATGCCTTTAAATAAATATATTTTGAATGAATGATTGAATGTGAAACACAAAAACAAATAGCTCCTGAAGGCTTAAGCATTCATCCACTTCCTTCCAAAGCTTTCCATTAGAATTTTCTGTGATGATGGGAATGTTGTATTTCTGTCCAATATGGGAGCCAACAGCTGCATGTGGCTACTGACCACTTGAAATGTGCCTAGTGTGACTTAAAACCTTAGTTTTAAATTGTATATACATATAATTCATTTAAATTTAAATGTCCTTATGTGGCTTGTGACTATCACAGTAAAGTACAATTAAAGGAACAACTATAGGAAACTAGATTATATTTTGGACTCAGAACAAAATTCTCAGAAAGTATTACTAATTTTTTTGAAGGACAACATGAATCACTTTCTTCTTTTTTTCTGTCCTTTGCTAAAGCTGATCTCACTCACGAAACTGGAAATGCTGGTGGAATTTTCTGTTTCTGAGAGACAGCTTTGTGTACTGCGATTATAGCCACCCTTTATGGATCTTACCTGTCTGCCTGGATGTATTTAAGTTCCAAAGCTTTCTTACAGGCACTGGGGTCACAAATCATAGCAGGGTGGGAGGTGAAAAGAGTTTGAAGGTCATGGATGGCCAAGTCTATAGTTTTCAAGGCTTTCTCATGGTGCAAATGAAGCTGCAGTTAAAGATGGTGGCAATTATGCTGTGCTGTGCTTGCTGCTGGTAAAAGTGACCTGGCAGCCCCACCAGCTTCGTTTGTTCTTAAGTATTCTATTAGGGAGGAATACATACATTCATTTTAGATAGTGCCCTGAGTAATGAGGAGAAAAGATGCTACATGCATTTAAAAAATGTTGTGATAAAGAGGTGCTCTAAGCATTGATATTTGCAAACATTTAAACCACTAAATCAGAAAGCATAATGACCCTTAGATATCATCTCATTCAAACTATTTAGTTAACATTTGAAAAGGCTCAGGGACAGAAAGGGAGCAGCCTAGCTAAGAATAAAACCAGAGTTTGCTGGTTCTTACTCCACAAGCAGTTGCAAATAGAAAGGGGAAAAAAATGAATCTATTTTGGAAGACTGTCAAAATGTCAAAGCACTTGTAGGCTAAAAAAACAGTTATATGTAAATGTATTGCAATGTGATACTTGAAAAGGAGTGTGTCATTTACCAATTCTCCCTAATTTCTTCCCCCCACTTTTTCTCTATAAGCGCACACTGACTATGATTCTCTCAGAGGATATAATACCCTCTTGGAGTAAATCAGGCAGGTTGGAAAATTGCATTAACTCTTTCCACTCCCTGGGGAACACATTTGGTAAATCCCTGCCACAGTGCACTAATTTTCCTCCTGGTGTGTGGCTAATGCACTGGGGAAAAAGGGCTTACTTACTGGGTGTGTCGACGAGGTCAGGGACCACATTATCACGATTTTATTGCCAACGAGATGAGCCACAGCCTCCCGCATGTAAATCAAAGAGTTAACAACGGGGCAGGGGGCTGCTCTGGCTTTGTCCTTTCAGGGTCACAACTGGACAGGCTGTGATCTGTCATCTTTCAGAGCCTTGCATTCAGCAGCCGCTGTTATTTTGCAAACCATCAGTTGTGTTTCCACAAAGCCAGTAACATGGTATTACACGGCCTGAAATCACTCAATCTTTAGGACTTGTTCTATTCCTACCCTCTAATCTTCTATGGGATTGAGAAGTCAAGGTGAGCTCAGAAATCGATGCACTCCTTATTTCTCCAAGTTTTTCTAATTTTCTACTTCAATACAGACACAACTGTGGAATCTGAACGAACATTTGCCCCAGACTGGAAACTCAAATAGCGTCATTTCCCTCCTTACCAAAGAATAGCTTCAAGATTATAAGTGAATATAACACTCTCCCCAACACCTGCCACATTTCCATACACACTTGCACTTATCTTTTCTTCAAGAAAAAAAAAAACCTAAAACTGTAATTCTGCTAGAAGAGTTGAGAGTGGCAACACTCATCTCAATTCCTAGCGCATGGTTTTTAGAAAATAAAATTAAAATTAAAAATCCTGTGAGTGGAGTTATATGCATGGACAGCTAAATTCAAGAAAGTGACTCAATCATTATTAACCTTCTGGAATCTTCTCCATTTTTCCCAGTGGCTGCAGGCTAACATCAAGGGATTCTGTGAGACCCAGGCTTCTGAGCATTCAAGTTCATTAGGCATGCATCTCATTTTGGCAGGAAGCCACTCTCTTTCAGCAAAAGTCAGTCACAGATAGACGGAGAGCAATCATCTCACGACTAATAAATGCGAGGCTGCTGAGACTGGGCTGCCAATCTTGCAGGATGGGGAATAAAGGGGTGGAGGGAGGGCCTGTGTTTTGTGTCCCTCTGATTTCATAGTGTACAATACAGCTGAAGCAGGAAGAAGCCCCAGACCAGCTCTCAGAAGCAAGATCAAAACTACCTGTACAAACAGTAATCATGCAACATCTTTGGCCTGAATAGGTACATCTGTCTCTAAGAGCTTAGAGCATCTTACAAACCCTTGCTATTAAACCCCCTTGGTGTCCTTGGGAAAGGAAGTGAGACAAGGAGTACAGAAGAAATTGAGACACTGAGGCACAGGGAGGTTTGGGGATTGAGAGGGGGTGATTAAGGGAGGCCAACAAGCAGAGTGAAAGAGAGGATTGAGGGACCCAACGCCAACTCTCAGACATAGTCACTGAGGAAAAGCCGGAGGGATGCAGCTGACACAGTCCAGCGTAACAAACGGAAATGTTCACTGGGGCTAGAACAAAAGATGGGGTAACATAAAAGAATGAAGCAGGAGGGTGGCTAGTCACAGGGAATAGTGAAGACTAGTACTATCACGATTTTTGGTGGAATCTCCTATTTCACATACACTGGCAATTAAATAGTTTTAAAATACAGTGCAAACCAAACAAAACATGTTTGTGGGTCTAATCCAGCCAGCCGGCCAGCAGCCTGTGCTGTTGGGCCCAGTTAGTTAAATACACCAGCTCATAGTTCAAACCTCTCCTTCCTCCTGCCTGAGTAGACATAGCAGGACCCGGCTTCCTTTCATCATGTAAGCATGACAGCATCGTGGTTCACTCTGGACACACAACATGTAAACCTGGGGACGATGCTCTGACAGCAGCATGATCCTGGTGGCAGAAACCAGGACTGGAAATGTAGATGGCTTGGGTAGGCTGCCCTAGGGAAGCTGGGACCACCTTCCTTCATTGTAAGGAAAGCAAAGGACCAGCCACCTTGTTAGAACATTGACAACAAAGAACTGTCCATACCTTTCTAATTATGAGTCTGATTGTCTAATAGTTTGGGGCCTTGTCTTGCCACCCAACCCTCTCCACAAGCTCTCTCTCTGCCCCATGACCTATCCTTCCTCCATCTCTTAAATACCTGCATATCTGTCTGTCAAACAGCTGTCTGGGTATTCACATTTTTGCTTACATCCTAGAGAGGCTAATCTTTGGGATTTGTATAACCCTTGGGGGTGAGAGAAGGGTAAGCTGACTGATGAAATCCCCTCTGCATTAATGGGCTATAAAGTAAAATCCGATCCCCAGGGACCATGATACAGAAACCCTCTGGTTCTACTTTTATGTGGGTCATATATCTTAATAGGTTTTCAAGCAATTTAGAAGACAAGACAAAGCAGCTGGTAAGGGCCAATTTACAAGGCCTCAGCTCCCCAGCAACACACATGCTGCCCTGTAACAAAAGCCCAACTGGTGTAAACAAGCCTTTTCCAAGTAGGAAGACACATACACACATCTGGGAAATTCCATTTTACCTAAACACACACTTATCTTATTTCATGAAAGCGTCATTTTCTTATTTATTCTGTGGCCTGTTATATCTGGTCAGTATCTATTTTCCTCATTAGTTATTACAAAATGGCCACTCTGAGCTCTGTAAACACTAGCTGTTTTCTGTGTGTCTGTTGTAAAGAGGAGAATGAACTAGGAACCCACAGACCTTCTTTATTATGGTGGTTCCATGGCAACATTTTCACCAGTTTGGAGGTGAGAAAGTGACAATGGATTTAGCTCAGCAATTTCATGCTATGCAAATCTAAGGCAATCTGTACTCTGAGGTGTGCCAGTGGGGTCGTACGGCTGCATGAATCAAGACTGGGCAATCCGCAAGGGGAGAAAATGAGTCTTGCTCTTCAAGGTGCCTCCTGCTTTGGAATGCATTCAGGAAAATTAATCAGTCACTAACATCTCCATGTTAGTCTCCCTCATTACAAATCGGAGTAAACGATTACTGCGTTAACCACTCTCTGAGAGGTTTCGAAAGGCCACTGGTGCTTACTGCTGATTTTCATAAATGATCTTCAAGGAGATCCCCTGAGGATGGGAGATCTGGGGAGGTCTAGGGAGAGGTTAGTGAGGAATGCATCTCATTACCATGGTGATGAGGTGCAACATGCAGCCTGGCTATGGAACCAGTTGCTACTATTTTTGGCCTGTGGGTTTCTGGTTGTTTGGGGGACTGTTCAATCTTAATTGATGGCAGGCTCCCAGGCAAACTGCACTTCTCTTCTGAGCACCAATCTTAAGAGGGTGAAACTGGAAGCAGAGTCCAGGCTGCAGCATTTTGCAACTCTATGCCTTTTGGCAATGTACTTGAATAGGACAGTATCATCTATGCTTCACAGAGATGTGGTGATCTCTGGAGAATAAAGCATTCTGAGTGGGCATTCAATGAACAGTCACTATTGTATTCACTTATTTATTTTGCCAATGTCTATGTTTTCCATATGCAATATTCATGGTAACTAAGACTTAGCACTTACACTTATTATGCAAGTACATAGTAGGGACTCAGCTAATATTTTGTCAGTGAATAAGCAAATGGATAGAGAATGGCTACTTTGAAAAAAGGAGTCCCTTTGTCTGCTTTATTTATATAAACAGCAGAAAACTGATACTAGGATGGTTCACCTCTAGAAATTGCAGTATTCCCCTTGATTCTACCAAAGAGAAGAATATAATTATAGAAAAGAGACAAAACATAACAATGCCGATATGATTAGACATTCATGAGACGAGTAAGTCTGCAAGCAAATGTGATGAACTGGAAGACAGGAGGGAATTCTTGGAGAAGTCACAGCTCTGTTTCATATGCCCTTTCTCTGGGGCATGATGAATAGTGCCTGTCCATCTTTCTCCCAGGGCTTCAAGCTGCAATGATGAGACAGCTGTAGAACTTACAGGCTCTTGTAGAAAGAAGCTATAAAATTGATGATTTTGCTTATTACTTCGGTGGCTATAGGGTACAGCTTGCACTAAGACAAACCCGTCAGCACAGACAGGTGAAAGAATATGATTTTAATATGCAGTGAGCCCTGAGAATACACCCCACCGTGTTGGTGAGCATACTTGTCTCAACCACACAGAGCCCTATCTCAGGATTCAAGGGTGATTTACATTATTCTGTGAATGTGAAAGGTGTAGGGTGGAATTTCCCTGAGTTGGCACATTAATGTGCCATCAATTGTGTTGTTTCCAAACAGACTATTGTGTTCCACCAACAAGCAGCCCATTTTGGCCTGAGGGAGAAAGAGCTCCTTTAGAATAAAGTGGTTTCTTAACCAGACTAAGTGACTAAGGCTGCCAAGGCAGCTCATGGGCAAATAATGCGTTTCCAGTTCTCAGCGGATTTCAAGGAAGATCAATGAAATGCTCGAGTCAGATATTACTTTGAGAACACAGAAGGAGATATCAGTACATTTATTTTTTCCTGACCA